TTTGTACTTTTTGCAACTATATCGTATCAGAAGTTTATCAACTATTACCGATTCAGTAATTTTTGCGACTGAAGAGTGTTAGCGTAGATTTTGCGTCTATTGACTGTAAGCTTCTCCAAATCGTAATTTGAAAGACGCGCGAAACGTGTAACATACCTGGTGCCAATGGCCCTTCTGGACATCTTACAGATGTAAAACAGAGGTGAAAACGGACGCCACTAATTCTTGAAATCTCTCCTTTTTGTAAATCCTGACGTCAATTTTATTCACTAATCCCGCCCGGGTCTAATACAAACAAAGTGCGAAAGTTCCATCGAAATCAGTTTTTAGCTTTATCATTAACACACATCCGAACATTCCCTTTTACAGACAAACAATTCCACCCAATTGATTTGTATTCTCGATAAAAGAAAATTCTGACCTTAATTTGTGCCATTGTTTTTATCAATAAATATTTGTTTATCCATGTTTTAAATTAGGAATATCAATTAGAGGTAAAAACATTTTATCTTTAATCCACGATAAGGATAAAGGATTTTTCAATGTTTACTTTTTACGGAAATTAAACGTTTTATTTAGTCTTATTTGAAGTTTGAAGCAATGAACTGTTTAGTTTTAATCTTTGTTTTCGTAATTTCAATGCCAGTTAGTGCTGAGGATGTTGCGCGTGTTTGGCACTTATTGATAATGATGTTCCAAGAGGCTGTTGCTATCGGATTTACTTACGAAACTCTGCGAGACGGCGTTAGACGTTTTCTAGAAACTGCGTCCTACCATAGAAGGCCCGTATGGACACCCTAGGGTAACAGAACCACAGGATGACCGTTTTTTGACTTAGAGGATTTTACGAAACTGGTACCTTACTCTTGTTCAAGCTTTTCCTCAGCGACAGGAAGTTCGAGGTGTCCAAATTTCTGAATGAACTGCTCGTAGAAGATTAAATCAGTATGGATTGATGGGTTTTTGCCCCGTAAGAAGACCTGTATTGACCAGAACACACAGAGTTTCACAGCCCTACGATCTCCTGATCGGCGTGAAAGAGCGGGGAGAAGGCGAAATGAAAGGTACGAAGCCTGTAATTTTTCCAAGATCCTACCTTTTCAACGCAGCTCAGTGATGACTTGATCGGGAATTTAAATGGAGAGTCAGAAAGAGTTGGTTGTTGTTCGTGGAGTGTCTTTGACGGCTACTCGCTATGGAGATGAAATTTTAGATTATGCGTTGCCCATTCTCGATCAAATCAGCGACAATTCTATTCTCATTCGCTATAATTACCGTCCAGATATCGCTCGCATAGTACAAAAGTACCTCAACAATAGGGTCTAACCCTAGCCAGCCCGTTCTCCAGTCTTCAACCCCATCGAGCATTTATGGGATAACCTCAAAAGACGGTAAGAGCACGTCCAACACTTCCTGATACACTCAACGATCTTGAAATGTCTCTTCGTGAAGAATGGGTTAACCTCAAGCTAAGAGACACTTCCAGACTAGAAACTAAGGCAAGAGGATGAAGGAAATACGCGAAATTGAAATGTTAATTAAAAATCTAGAACTCTCTCTCGGTGTAGGATGAAGTTTGATACATAGTAAATGTGGTTACTATCCCTTAGGGCTTTCGATTGGAATTTTTGATTGCATTATGTGTCGGAATGCTTGGTTGACCTCCAGAGTTGCCAGAGTTGTCTGGGCAGCTGTTCTCTAGACTTAAACCCTTTGAACATTTATGGGATAACCTCAAAAAACTAATAAAAGTACGTTCATCACTCCCTAATACACTCCACGATCCTGAAAGATCCTCTTTGTGAAGAATGGGCTAACCTCCAGCAAAGAGACATTTCCAGAATAGGTAAAAATTATGCCGAGGCGTCTTCGAGATGTAATTAAGGCAAGAAGTGGAAAGAAGCAATATTGAGATGTTAATTAAAAATCTAAAACAAAATTAAAACCAATTTTATCTGTTTGTCGTTTTTTCATTTTCCTTGGCAAATTTACATTGTTTTACTTTTTTAGACAAATACTCAAATATAAACGTTAAAAAACGTGAAACTTTGATTAGTATATAAAAATACATAAAAATGAGAGATATTGAGAGTGAGTTGGTGTTTAGGAACTGATTGCGTTGCGGGCTGAAATGACCTAGTTGTTGATACACGCGGAGCCCAAAATCGGTGCTGGATAGATAAGACCGAGGACTGCCCCGGGGTGCCAACACCAAAGGTGGGTGATTCTCCAAGCCTGCCTGTAATTTGTTGTGAATTACAAAAGCTGGAGTTACCGGTAGACTGCCAGAAGTGATAGGCTCAATTATGCACATATTTCTATATACGTAGCCTATATAGACATACGTATAGTGTATATGTTTTGAGGTTATATAACTCAGAAACCTATACATCAGATCAATAATTAAAACAATAAGAATGTTTAAGTTCATACCATACACAACAAATCAACTAGTAGACAAACATTTAACTTCTATAATGTATAAAATCTATAATTATTATAAATAACAATATTTTTGATATGTACAAATGGGCTATTTATGCAATAATTATAAAAATTTACGATTTCTGTTCAGATGTCGCTTGTTCAGCTAGGTACGTTTAGGGTTACATGCGTGTAGTATATTGCCATATCGAAGGCAGACGTGAGTGCATTTGATGATGCACTGTATTAATGGTGGCCGGATAGCGTGAAGAAAGGGCCGGGACGACGGTGGGAATCGAACCCACCACCGCGGTTCTAAGAGCCGGGAGTCTATCACGCTGGCTATTTGCTACCACGGTCATCACAAATAATTGTTACAGTATAAATTTTACAAACGTTATAACTGTGGTTTTCGACTAACATTCAATATCTGTCATATCGTGAAATATTTGTTAACATGACAGAAGTTAGTATGAACTAACGCAAGAAAATTAAATAATTTTTTCATCCATTATTAATTTATTTTTATCTCAAATTATTAAATAGGTATTATTGTCTATAAATTTGAACATTTCATGAACGTCAATAATTGGGCTAAATATTTTTTTCCATGTTTTACGTTATATTTCTTTACCGTTTTTATGATATTCTCAAGGTTTCGTTTATTTTAGTATAAAAAGCTATTATTTTGTGTGTCTTTCTGTGAATAATAGAAAACTTTGAATTCCATTTAAAGTCAAGTCCATTAAAAAAATTCTCCACTGGTTGCCTGTTATGATGCTCTACGTTTTTCTAATGGTAACAAGGTAACAATGAAAAATAAAGAGAATTTCCGATAGGAATTCTATCGAAAGGATGGTTGGCCGACTCACTTATCTTTGATGTTCAATCTCTCTGGCCATTTTCCTCCCCATTCGTCGGGGGGGAAAATTAAAGGATCAAAGAGTTGCAGACTGGTTGTTTTTTTTCCATCTACTTAACTACGGCTACAAAGAGCATCGCGGGTAAAAATCTTTTCCGTGTATATAAATCTGTCGATTCTTTGCCTAAGAAAATTCTCATGCTTTTTCATCAGATCCAGGAATCAAAATATCCATTCTTATGCGGGGTGATCATAATTTATTTAATGCCTTGCTTTATGATTGACCAGATGAAAATTTGGAACGGTAAAATTTAATTTATAAACATAAAAAACAGTAAATTTTTAAAATCGATATGAAAATATTGATCACGGCTTTACAATTTTTTAACTCAAGTTTATTTAATGTACTTTACAAAAATAAATAATACTATATATAATTTGATGAAAGCTCCTGCTATCGGACAGACATTATATCCTCTAAAGGGAAATTTTAATCATTTGCTATTTCATATATGTTAGTGATGAAAGAAAACATGATTTATACAAACTATCGTCATTTCTATTCCTAGAGAACTGATTAAAGGCACTTGCCGCACATTGTACATTACGACGACTTCGGACCTCCGAATAATTTAATTAATTAATAATAAATAATTATGTTAGTATGTTATTGTAATTAATATTTCATGTCAGGAGCGTGATTGTGCATTTCGGATACATAAATTGAGTTTTTATAGTAGTAATAATTTAAAAATTACTTTTTAAATATGTATTTGCTCAGTACATAATTAGGTATTGTTGTTGGAAAAATCTTTTTATAAATAGTTGCCTACTTCAAATATTTGAATTATTATTGAAAATTAACTGGGGACCTGTTGCGTATTTTGATCCAAAAGTTTTTTCATGTAAAACGTACTGTTTACGCCGAAGAATCTCCATTTCTTGTTGTTTTCGGCTGACCAACGTTCGTCTCGGGAGGCCCTGTTTAAATGGCTGAGGGTCCTATTGTTTTTATTTTGGCAAGCGATTACGCCGGTATCTTCGGCCTTTGCACAATTTTCACAAAATTAGACTCTCGCTTGCCTGAGTCAGCACAAGACGCACCGTTTACCGAATCGATTATCGAACCTAATATCGATTTTCTTTGGACATTCCCCATCGATTTCTTCTATTCAACACCTTGTCCTCACATCACCGACCTTACGGACTACGTCATCGTTATCCTGCTTTAAAGGCATTTTGAAAAAACTTCGTCGGCGTGGAACCCAGCAGGAATCTCCAGCTCAACACCACTTATTTCGATTGCTTGGAGAAGCGAGTCATCAACCCACCAAGTACCTTTTCGTTTCGTCTTTTATTTTATTTTAATTTTTTTTGTAAAACCAAAGCGAGTCGTCATCCCACCAAGTACCTTCTCGTTTTTTTATTTTTATTTTTTATTTATTTATTTATATTTTTATTTTTTTTATTTATTTATTTTTTATTATTTTTTTTTGTGTACAATCCTGGCCAGTAGGTTTGATTATGATTTATTTAGGATAATTGAGGAAATTTCTTTTACTTTTTTCTTAGTGTAAATAAATTGTAAATATTTAATTTTTACTTTAAAGTATTATCAATCTCCCCTTTCTTTTCCCCAAAACCTCTTAAGTATAATACATAGTTGCCACCTATTTAAAAGAGAAAAAAAGAACACAACAAAATTTAATTGTACCTCTTGAAACGGGTACGGAAGTTTGCAGGGTCAATAAAGATCCGTCCTTCCCCCAACACGTACTTTTCCCCCTTCCTTCCTGTGCGTTTTTCGTGGCTTTATCTGCAATCATTCAAATAATGTCCAAATCAATTAATTGCAATATCCTTGCACATAGCTACTCCACAATTACACTGTCATTAATATAAACCGGAATATGTTGTTTTTCATTTTAATTGACAACAATTGGTCATTATCATTAAAAATATGGCTGGAACATTTTTTCAATTATATTGATGATTATTCAATGATTTTGGTATTAAAAAGTATTTTGTCTATAGACAATATTTTGGCATATCATCGGACCTGTCCGTAGTCTTGAGGCACGGCAGCGGACACAGATCGCTGTTCCGGTACCTCAGGGCTATAGGGATTTTTAAATGTACATAGTTTTATGTGTTTGGTTTGTGTCTGTGTTTGACTTTATGTTAATTTTTTGGAATGAATGTAATTTATTAGCATGAAAGGAAGGGGTTGCTTATAACCCCGCCCCGAGGAATATCGAGTACTTTGGTTACATATATGTATTGTATGTTTTGTTTTTATTCTGTATTTGACAACCTGAGGTACAAACGAGACAAAAGCATTCTAGAATATCAACGTAGTATATACCTAAAATCAGACAGTCAGTAACCAGATCGAGACGCTCAAATGGCTGCAGTTTAAAACAAAATATGCGCGAAAGAAAAGAAAAAGAAGGGAAACACGCAGAGGGCCAGCGATGACCTCAGCTGTTTGTCGGCCCATAAACTTCCCACTTATATAAAACGTATTTACAATTGATAATTGTTGTATTTAATTAATTCAACATAATTTTACATAAAAATGTTTAAGCAACGACAATATTAGCATAAAGTGAGACAGTATGTCAAATATCAGTATTAGAGTGAAAATGATGTTTGCTTATGTTTTCGGACCTTCAATTGTGACATTATAAAGATAGGTGGGTCAGTAAGCCAGAATACCAGAAATCGAAACATAACTGAAAGTACAGTGTATGCAATTAGTATCGGGATAACAGAAAAGGCTTAGATGTTGCGAAGGGTGAGAACCATTGTTGTCGGAGTGTTGTTTAGGTGGAGCCTACACTCTAACAGTGATTCTCAGGGGTTGGGCGGAGAAAACAAACTTGTTTATTCTAGTCAGGGCCCTCTGTAAATATACTTATGTGCTTTATTCCAGGCCAGCCTCCTGCGTCCTTATTGATTCGGACTCTCCTCCCAATTATACTCTGGCCCGGATATTGCTCTCGGTGAAGCAGCCCGCGGCGGGTACCGGGCCTTTACCGCCGGGAAAAAAACGGACCGAGTTGATCCTGAAACAAGGGAGCCATAGCAATGGGTTAAGGAGAGAAGAAACTAAAAATAATCGGTTTTTGAAAGGACTTATTGACTTGGAAAACCCGGCATGCACAAGATGAAATAGGGCAGAAGGATAATATCTCCTCCATTACGCCTCTAAACTCTCTCAATCTTAGGTCCTCACTCATGAAATAATTTTTCTAGACTTACTGACAAATTACTACGCGGCAGCTCAATAGAGTAACAACAGGAGAAATACCAAGTTTTAAACATAGTTTAGTTCTTAAAGATCTATAAAAACTACGGCTAATGTGAGGTGATTAAAACTGTATTTATCTGCCTGTGAATACGGACGTCCATCTCAGATGTTTGATAAGCTGATTCATCGCAAAAACGTACAGAACTGGTTCTGGCCATAAGAGAATGTAGGCCACACTATAATTTATGGAATAAAACAAGCTTGGTCGGTTTTGGTCATTTTATTTTATCTATTATTGCTGTTTAGAGTAGCCAATTCTCATAATAATATCACTCGTTGAACACTAAATATGGCGAGAAGCAAAGAGCAGGAAAGATGACCTATGTAATGAAATAATGGTCAACGACCAGCTGGTTTATCAACTCGCAGCACTCACGTGGAAATCTCACAACTTAAAATTTGTTTAAAAATAAAATGAGTAATTTTGAACAGGTATTAATGCACTTCTATCTTCAGAGCCCCATTTATTCCTCTATGAGAGAAATTCATCTCACGAAATATTTTTGTGGATGTGACGAGGAAGATTAATATGTTCAATATTTACATTTTTTAAGATTGAAACAAAATCTTATGTTTTATTATATTAATCCTTATATCTTTAGCAGTCATAATTGACCTTATTAATTATATCAATTAATTATACTTTTCATCTAAAGTCTTGGTTGAGATGAAATATTTTATGCAAGTGCTACAGATGATAACAAGAAAAACACCAAAAGTTTAATGTATCCACAAGTAAATAATTACTATTATACTCGAAGCTTCTCAAACATAAACTATTGCCCTCTATAATTTATTATTAGCTAGATCTCACCTGTAATTTACAGATTAGTTCGAACTACACAGTTTTTTCAATGTTCCTACCCTCTCACCACACAAAGACAATTTATATATTATTTTCCACCATGGCCTGCTTTATCAATAAGAACTGGACCATCATTTTCGAAATTCACCACCTTTCCAAGTTCATTTCACCTTTAATCAATTTTTTATATTGAATCAAGAAACTATAGAACCAATTTACAGAAATTGACTTCTTGTATTTAATCCAGTCAAGAATTATTGTCAAAGAATTGTCTTTTGTAGTTAACTTTTATTACTCTTTCCCTCTCACTCTCTCTCTCTCTCTCTCTCTCTCTCTCTCTCTCTCTCTCTATCTATCTATCTATCTATCTATCTATCTATCTATCTATCTATCTATCTATCTATCTATCTATCTATCTATCTATCTATCTATCTATCTACCTCTCTCTCTTTCTTACTCTCTCTCTCTCATTCTCTTTCTCTCTCTCTGCCTTTCTCCCTCTCTCTCACCCTCTCTCTATCTCTCTCTATCTATCTATCTATCTCTCTCTTTCTCTGTTTCTCTCTCTCTCTCATTCTCTTTTTCTCTCTCTTTCTCTCTCTCTTTCTCTCTCTCCCTCTTTCTCACTCTCTCTCTATCTCTCTCACTCTCTCTCTCTCCCTCTTTCTCTCTCTCTATCTCTCTATCTCTCTCTCTATCTCTCTCTCTCCCTCTTTCTCTCTCTCTCTCTCTCTCTCTCTCTCTATCTATCTATCTCCCTCTTTCTCTATCTATCTATCTACCTCTCTCTCTCTTTCTCTCTCTCTCTCTATCTATCTATCTATCTGTAACTATCTATCTATTTATCTATCTCTACCTATATCTATCTATCTCTCAGTCACTCACTTATTCTCTTGACACTTTAATTCGTACATATTAAACCAATTTTATATTACGGGATGATTTGTTGAATTTGAGTCTTTTAAATATGTATCACTACAAGAAATATTTGGATAAAATTGTCCTTTTCGTAAGAAATATGTAGTATAGGGTTAAGCGAGGAATTTTCAATTAGGTGAAACCTGTTTTTATAAGTTCTTTCTTTTTCTATATTTTCTGAAAGAGTTGTTTCAATTTCATTTGTTTGGATATATTAATTTGCAACATAGTTCAATTTACGTTAATTAATTTTAATAATGTACCTTCTCGTGCTGATATCGTAAAGATATTTGTTTCATTTCCTCATACCTAAATTTATTTAATCATATAAAACATTAATTAATTATTTCTATAATGTAGGAAACAATCTAACAATAGATTCCAATTAACAACATGTTAGGCTTTTATAATTTATCCAGTATGTTTTCCTTGTTTTATATTTTAACTTCAACAGAACATATTTGCTTCCAAACAAAAAACAAAACAAAACTTTCTTTTATAACTTTTTAATACAAGTATAGATTGAATTTCGACTGAAATCATCTTTTGGTTTTAATATGAAAAACATCCTTTTAACAAAACCGTATCTTCTTTCAACGGGTTTCCTATACAAAAGGGTGGCGCAGGATATTAATTCCACGTAAAATATGATCTCGCGTTGACAAGCTTTCAAAAAATTTATAGATACGGATGAGAATCGGAGAGGTGAGAAAAGGATTCTGGTGTAATGTCGTGATAACATCAATCAGGTCTCGCTCTTGCAGCATCCTCGTTGACATGAACGAGAGCATGCATTGTGCCTGTGATTTAAGGCCGGTTGTGGATCTTGTAGACCCTACTTCAAATCCCACGAAAACCTTGATTCATATTTGCTTTCTGATTTTTCACAACCGGTTTCTATGAAATTTAGTTTCTCGAGTACATTTGGCTAATATGTTTACAGGCACTTTAAAATCACACACTCAAAGTTTTAGTTCTTTCTAAACTGCTAGCAATTAATAGCGACCTTGCCAATTTTGCAGTACATATTTATTTTCCCTAGCATTTTTTTATTTTTATTATAAATTGCCTTAAAATTTATTATAAATTGTAATGTTTCTTACTGATGGAAATTTCAATTAAGGGATTTTCAAAAACAAAATAATAAAAGGTTTTAATTCCTAATTTTGTTTATTGGTCACAATAATTTTTTAAATAATTAATACCGTGTATAATGGCCTCTATTAGCTTAAACCTCTGGGCACCTTTTGGGCATACTGTTAATACGGTTTTGACTAATTCCTTAAGGAATTTCACTCCATAAATGTTGCAAGGCTGCACTCAGTCCGCAACTGGCTGCGGACAGTGATCGAAAAGCCTTCTCTGCTTCCCATGTACGCACATGTATTCAATGGGATTGTGATCTGTAGATAATGGCGGCAGATGGGAAATTCTCAGGTTTTCTGAACACTGTTGGACCACTCAGCTTCTATGAGGTCTGGCATTATCATCCAATCGAAAAGCCCTGCCAATGAGATCCCTGGATTGGAGGGATGTATTACTCGATTTTTTCTTGGACATAACGGATTGCGGTGAGTTCATCTTCAACAATACGGAGTTCAGTTTCTCCTCCAGTGTGATTCCCAGCCCCGACCATTACACCTCCTTCAAACTGTACTGAAGGGAGCACGAACAAGGGCATTGTACGCATCCTCTCGGTAGACATTTCGGCACCTGTTATCACTATACAGACAGAAACGCCACTTATCAGTAACAGTATATCAATTGGTGTTCTCTTCTA